TTAGAATGTAATAATAGAAATTCTCAAAGAGTTAGGAACAATGATGTTGATGTGACATTCTTTACAATGGTGTGAAAAATTAAAAGCAGGATAATAGCAATTATCTATTATTTAGTTGTTGAAATCCCAGCTATTAAATTTATTACATGTCAAAAACTGTATTGAATATCACATATATTGTCTCATTTAGTCTTCATTTTATTAAATTTATTACATGTCAAATACTGTACTGAATATCACATATATTGTCTCATTTAGTCTTCATTTTATTAAATTTATTACATGTCAAATACTGTACTGAATATCACATATATTGTCTCATTTAGTCTTCATTTTATAGATTAAAACTTGAACTCAGAGACGTTAAGCATGCTGATCAAGATCATAAAGCCATCCTGGCCTGCGTGACTCAGCGGTTAGAGCATCAGCAATCCCCACATCTCCACATTGAAAGCTCTTGAGTTTGATTCCCTGTCAAGGGCACATACCTGGGTTTCAGGTTGGCTCCCTGACCCTAGTTGGGGCACCTGCGGAGGCAACTGGTCTATGTGTCTCTCTTATATTGATGTTTCTCTCCCTTCTCTCCCTCCCTCCCTTTTATGCTCTCTGAAAAGCCATGGAAAAAAATATCTGCAAATGAGGATTAATGAACAAACAAACAAATAAAAGATTTCATTTAAAAAAGATCATAAAGTCTATGATCTTTACTACTATTTTTAGATTTTCTTATCAAAATTTTTGTCTAGCCATAGGATGTCACATGTGATGTAGCTTTTAAATGTGATTTAAAAGATATAGGGAAATGTTTATGATATTGTGTTAATTGAAAGAATCAGATAAGATTTTAACACATATAATGATTTAAAAAAAAACACAACAAAATCAAATAAGGTTCTCTGTCCACAGAAAAGACCTGTACTAAAATAGTCTTAAAAGATGGTATTTTAGGGTGGTGAAATGATACCTTTGAAATTCTTTGTTTACTTGGTACTCTTTTGTATTTTTTAAAATGCACAAAGACTATGCATCATAGAGACTATATATAAATATCTATTATTTTTGCAGCCAAGTTATTCAAATACTTCATATGGCCCAAAGTATTTTTTCTTCTTGTGGGATTTGAAAAGTCAAAAGCCTCTTTTAAACATTTTGAAATGTCTTTTCATTTGGCATTCAAAAAAGTTTTTACAAAAGTACACAAAGCTGTCAAGGTAAGAACATCCAAACCTAAAGAGAATTTTTATAAAACTTTATTTGAGCCAAACAGGATATGCTGGGAAGCAAGATCTCAATAAACTGAGAAAATGCTTCTTAAAATGGCAGTTTGCTGCTTCTTTTATGCACTTGGAATTTAGGAGGGACTGGAAGGAAGATTACACGAAGGTGGGAGAAAGCAAGGTGGGGATTGTTTGACAGGAGAGTTAAGAAGATTATGTGCTCTCTTGAGGGTGGTTTCTCTTCTGAGGGGCCCGAAAGGAGGCATTTAGAAAGCTTGTTAACTTACATGCACAGAAACAGTGGACAGGGCTTAAGGTAAAGATTAATCTTTTACTAAAGAAGTTATATGCCTGGGGCATGACTGCCCACCATGGCCTGCCCATTTAGGAACTATGATCAAGTCACTCTGTGAGGTTACTTTTTGTAGAACCCCTTTTTCAACCACAAAGCTAAAAACGAAAAAATTAATTTAATGATTTCAATTATTATATTAAAAATAGAAAAGCTGAGAATAGACAAAAAGAACATTGTTGATAATTTGATAGTAATTCCTTTTAAATGCTTCTATTCTATAGTCCAGGTTGTGGCACTTTCATCTGAGGGAAGGACCATGACACTTTTTTGTGACTACAAGCTTGAACCTTTCCAGTTCATCTGCTCTCAAAGATATTTAACAAATTCAATATAAGCAATTGGTTTTGATCCTAAGGCAGGAAAAATCTGAAATGAGTAAGACATATTAATTTTTACTTCAAGACTCCTAAATACAGATTATATCCTGGAGTAGAAATAATATATTAGTTGCTCTTATGACTCATAAAAGCAGATGTAAACATTTTTATTGCTCAAAACTAGTGAGGATACATCCAACTGAATTAAAATAGAATCTCTGATGCTGAGCTGAACATAGAATTTCTGCTTAGATTAACTTAGAGTTGAAAATATTATTGTAATTCCAAATTCATTTTGTCAACTTTTTAGGACCACTAATGAAAACCAGTTTAAGATGATTTTTAAAAATATATACTTTTATTCAAAACATTTTGCAAGGGATTCTGTTACTTTAAAGAAAAGTTCTAAGAAATTTGTTTTATTAGTTTAAACTGGTAAAAAATACTCAAACTTAATTAGAAAAAAAATTATTATAGTCAGAATACACTAGTGAAAAATAACAAACAAATGGGTGGAGGAGTGTTTCTGTCAAGGTAGGAGGAAGAGACCAAGGGGGTGGGGGGGAGAGAAATAAATTGAATATGTTGGAGAGCCTTAAAGAGCAAATAAGTGATTTCTTTATAAATAAGAAAAAATGATTTGAAGGTTTTATGGTACAAGCAAGAATATGTCCTCTTGCTTGAG